CACCATGTGCCAGGAATTGTGTCAGGCACAGTGAACTAGACCCTTGGTTCCTGCCTTGACAGGAACTATATTATAGTGAAAGAGCCAGGTCAAAACCAAAACCAAAAAGTAAACAGAAACATAAATAAAGCATAACAAATTATATCAAGTATTGCATGGAAACACAGAAGGGGCTGGGAGAGAGGATGGGGCGATATCAGAGTAAGGCCTCTCTAAACCCTAAAGTAAAACAAGGAGCCATCATGGCAGGCTCAGAAGGAAACAGATGCCAAACAACTGCCGGCCTGTGCCAGGCCTGAGAGGAGAGTGAGGGGAAGGCAGTCTGGAGCTGTAGGGCCTTACGGACCAGGGTCAGGAGTGTGGTGTTTATTCTATTACTGGAAACCCCTGAGAGGCTTTAAAGCAGGGAAAAGACACAATTCCGTTTACGTTTTAAAAAGCTTCCCACTAGAGGCTGAAGCATGGAGAGTGGCTCTTAGGAACAAGGGTGGTAGGTGGTAGGAGCAGACAGGAAGGATGTTATTGCAACCCAGGGCAGGACCAGAGCAGTGGGAGTAGAGGCAGGAGTAGAGAGGGTTTTTGAGTATGGAAATTGACACACAAAAACATAAATATTTTACAAATCATCGAACATCTCAGATCTTAGCGCTAGACTTTCCATTATGATGGCAAGTGAAACTAGAGACCAAAAAATAAAATAAAGTAAAATACGGTCAGGTGTGGTGGCTCATGCCTGTAATCCCAGCACTTTGGGAGGCCAAGGCAGGTGAATCACTTGCGGTCAGGAGTTTGAGACCAGCCTGGCCAACATGGTGAAACCCTGTCTCTACTAAAAAAAAAAAAACTTAGGCGGGCATGGTGGCGCATACCCGTAATGCCAGCTACTCCGGAGGCTGAGGCAGGAGAATTGCTTGAACACAGGTGGCTGAGGTTGCAGTGAGCCGAGATTGCACCACTGCACTCCAGCCTGGGCAACAGAGCTAGACTCTGTCTTAAATAAATAAATAAATAAATAAATAAATAAATAAATAAAATTACTAGGAAATAGAAGAAATAAAGACCTAAATTAGAAAGAACTTGAAACTGGGATGACCATCTCCTTCTTCTCACTTTAGAGAATATAGACATTGAGTCTTCATATTCTGCTGGGCTGGGGGTGGGGGGGTGTTCTATCCCAAACATTTTTTCCTAATTAAGCGGTTTTTCTTGATGACTGAAAATTATATAAATACTTATAGAAAAAAAAAACCCACTTGAATTCTGGCATCAGTAACTAAAATACATTTCAATGTGTATTTTAACGGTCCCGTTGTTTGAGACTTGTGTAAGATGCCCAGTGAAGCTGTCAGCCAGGATTTCTCAAACATGATCCAAAGACCTCCTAGGTTAACATAGAAGGAGTTGGGAGGGCAGGGGATTAAAAAATGCAGATTCAGGGAGCCTCACCTTAGATTCACTAAAGCTGAGTCTTTGAGGTGGGCCCCAGAATCTGCATTTTCACAAGCTCCCTAAGTTGTGTGCTGCAGAGTCTGAGAAGCTCTGCTTTAAAGGGATTGATGTATCATGCTGAGAAATGACCTGAGAGGTTAAAATATAGAGAAAGAGATGGGGCTAAAATTATGACTAGGCTAAACAAATAATCACAAAGAAATAAAATCACCCTCAAATCTCATTCTCATTAATGTTAACAATCATTGTAAACATTTTGGTAGATACGCTTCCAGATTTGCTTTTATGCACATATGCATTCTTTTTTTCATAACAAAACGTGAGTACACCCTTATATTCTATAGGAATTGACTTCATGAACACAATATGTCTTTTGATAAAGATGCTCATTCTTCATTGCCTGGATGCTGATGAGGGCACAGTGTGGGGGTGTGGGGCAATGCCCAGAGGGAAATGACATCCACCAGGATCTATGTCCTTAATAATCAGAGGAGGTATTATGGGGGAATGGATGCCTGACATGAGAGAATTAGAAACATATTTTATTTTGGAACAGACAGGTATTCTCTGATTGGTGGATCTCTGGAAATTAACACAAATTGTATCATAAATATGCCTTGCCAGATGAAGGCATCTTCTAAAAAGCCAAGCACAAAGAGTTTTTAGACAAAAAGGCATAGCAAGCAACTGTCAAAACACAGTGCCATGTTGAATACTGTCAGCTTCCTTCCATCTGCTGTCTCAAAACCTAGCTTCTCTCTTGCATTCCAGGGACGCTGACGGAGGAGGAGAGCCAGATTCCGGCACAGTAAGTGTATCTGTTTTATTACTTTGGACATCACGGTGGAAAACTTCAACATTCTCTTGGCTTTCATATCTACTGAATCTACAAAATTTCACACTGTTTGCTTTTCTTTCTTCAGAACTGAAGTGTTTGGGGTAGAGAGTTGCCAAATTTAGCAAATAAAAATACAGGATTTCCCATTAAATTTGAATCTTAGATCAACAACGAATACATTTTGAGTATAAGTGGGGGCCATATAACATTCAGGACACACTTATACTAAAACAGTATCTGTTGTTTCTCTGGAACTCAAATTTAACTGGGTGTTCTATATTACATCTCATGACCCTATTCAGAGGGAAATATTGATACAGAACTGTAATTTCTTAATTAGAAGTGAAAACGCTCCAGTTAACCTAGGAGCAATGTGGATGCTCATTAATGATATCCTTTTGTGTTTCAGAAGTGTTTCTCCTAAAGAAAAAGAAAATGGATAATAAGAAAATGGATAATAAAACATCAGCTACTCAAAGAAGACAGTGGGCAGGGACTCCAGCTTTTAGTTCACACCAGGGTAGCAGAGGTCAGCGTGCTTCTTGTTTGCCTTAAGTGATTGACTTTGGGGAACACAATAGTTGTTCGGATACACAGGAATCTGCTTAAACTTTCAAATGCTGGTCATGCTCCCCAGGTAATGATCCAACACGTGCTTATGTTGCTGCCTCCCAAATTAGTGCACACAGGGGTTGTACAAAGTCAGGTTCAAAAGGGGGTTGATGCTCCAGCAGGGAGCCAGTCCCTAGACACAGAGGCCAGCACTCTTAATTGATAATGAACAGACAGGAGGAAAATGGGAACCCTGAGATCTAGTGGAAGAAGTGAGATAATTTACTCTATTTGTTTTCCTGGAAATGAAGACTTTATGTCAAGAATCTGTAATAAAATTAGCAGAGGTGCACACACGCAACTCCATAAAATGCTTGATCACCTTGCTGGTCTGCAGCACCTTTTTCTCTTCATGGGAGCATTTACCAGTTTTTAATCCTTTTGTTTGATTAACATTAGAATCAACAACTGCAACCTGTGTTGGGTTCCAGTATAGTGTTGTATTTGCAAACTTATTAAGGAAGATAGATTTTTTTTTTAGGACCTTAGCTGTAACAGTCTCTAGCCCTGAGTAGCAAACCATACTTTTAAGCTTTCATTTTATTAGGGCGGAAAAAAAACCCAAAGAGACAAAATCTATAGTTATTTAAGGAGAGAAAACACTGCAATAAGTAGTCATCACTGCTCCAAGACAGTCTTATAGAGAGAAATACATTATTAAATCTATCTTTATCTGAGTTTTTTAATCTCTTTTTTCCCCCTTAGAACTCTTATTTAAAAGGAACACAAAGTTGATTTTTATTTGTGAATAACTAATGGCTTAATGATGATATATTCCAAATAGCAGTAGTTTGCATGTATTCATAAGAAGCAGTCAGCACTTTGGATGGATCCAAGACCTTTAGATTCTGCCAAAAAAAATCCTGTGGATTCTAATTCACAGGTAGTAGAGCTATGATAGCTCCTGCAAACACTCAATGAACCCAAAAATGAGTTCAGTGTGCTTGGGACAACGGGATGCTCCAACCTGCCAACCCTAGTGCCCATCACTTGATTGTTAGGATTCTCAGTCTTAATGCTATCTCCACCCACCTACTTCTCCTAAACATCTTATTTTCTCCTGCAGTTATCCACAGGGAGTTTCTAAAAGTGAAGAAGTTTTTACTTCTTCATCATCAAAATAAATGAGGGGGAGAAAGGATATATCCTGTAAGCTTTCTGTCAAGCTAGTCTTTTTCTGAAGTTAAGACCCTCCTCCTTTTATTTTCTTCCCTCTGTTTTGATGTTAAATTATCCTTGCTGTTATTACACAACGAGGACAGTTCTTTTTGCTTGGTTTTATATTATTAATGTCCTTAATTTAGGAAATAAATGTTGCTTTACCCTATGTTGGTTCTCCCCATATTTGTATTCCTCTTCTAACTCTTTCAGTCATTCTAATTATATCAAGAAGAAAGTCTTGGTTTGTGCTAGACTGTCTTTAACACTTCTCTAACACTTAACAAGAACCCATTTTAACAAAAAAGATCAGGCTGCAGAAAACACTGTATCTGGCTGCGAGCATATATACATGATTTAAAATATGCCTTATTTTCACTGTCTTTATTTTTCCAATGACTTTATGAGTTTTGTCAGTTTGTTTGTTTTAAGACGGAGTCCCACTCTGTTGCCTGGGCTAGAGTGCAGTGGCGCGATCTCGGCTCACTGCAACCTCCGCCTCCCGGGTTCAAGCGATTCTCCTGCCTTAGCCTCCCGAGTAGCTGGGATTACAGGCTGCTGCCACTACACCCAGCTAATTTTTTGTATTTTTAGTAGAGACGAGGTTTCACCATGTTGGCTAGGCTGGTCTCAAACTCCTGACCTCGTGATACACCCGCCTCAGCCTCCCAAAGTGCTGGGATTACAGACGTGAGCCACCATGCCTCGCCTGACTTTGTGTTGTATTCTATTTAACATTAGTGATATAAATATTTTTAAGTAGATTTAAATTTTAAAAATAAGTAGATTTAAAATATGAAGGTAATAATATAGCTTCGTATTTTATGAAGCTGATTATCATTAAAAACTTCTTCACTTTTAGAAACTCCCTGTAGATAACCACAGGAGAAAATAAGGTGTTTAGGAGAAGGTAATAATAATATGAATGCCATAAGCACAGAATCTTAACAGTGGCCCAGCAGTGAGTACAATTTAGGAACTACTGGTTTAGCCCATCCCTCTCATAAGAAAACAAATGAGGAAACGGAGACTCAGAATAAGGAAGATATTCTTTTCTAAGATCATACAACTGGTTATCATTAAGCTCTGTTCTACTCTGTCCCTCCTCATCTAGGTAATTGCATTCGACAACAAATTCTGCAGTGTTAAAGTGAAGGAAATTGGATATAAAATACCCAACAATTGTGATGTGGGCTTTCAGGAAGGTGATGGTTCCAGAGGCTGGTGTGTACTATAGGGGAGGCATAGACACAGCAAACACTTGTCGTATAGCACCTTGTACTGAAGGCCTAAACTCCTCAATTTCCCAGAGCACGAAGAAAAATCTTTGGGCCTGCCTCAAAGGTTGCAGTGGCAGAGATTTCCTCTGGAGTCAAGCAAAAGACGGCTTGAATCCCAGCTTCTCGGCTTAGCAAAAAAACCACCTTCCATCTCTTTATTCATGCTACTCTTTACTATTATCATTCCTATAAAATGTTATAGGAATAATAATAGCTAACAGTTCTGGGCGCTTGTTATCTGCCAAGCACCTCTGATGCATTATCTAACTTAACCCTCAAACTAATACTGGAAGGCAGTTATTATCGTTCCACACGATAGGTGAGGACATCTGCACTCTGAATGGTTAATCGCTTATCTGCATTTATACAACTAAGCAGGTGATAGAATAGGATTCAAACCCAAGCGGCTTTATTCCAGAGTACGCACTTAACGCTACCGCTATCTTGTGCAACTTAAATGCAGATAAGGGTTGCAAAGGCCTGGCACATAGCGGGCAGGGAAAGTCAGTGTTTTTTCCGCCCAAGTGGCAGCGCGAGTCAGTTGTAACGCGATATCCAGAACCTTCTCCGTAGAGGCCTTGCCTGGGACTACAACTCCCAGGATGCCGCAGGCGGAGAAGCTGGCCAATCGGGGGCGCCTCTTCGCCTTCCCAGTCGGCTCCCTGCTCCTGTCAGAACCTCGGTGACGGTTGGCTGGGTGGGTAGTGCCGGCTGCTCTGTCTTGAAGGATCCCGATCTGGTTTGGGAGGGTGAAGACCGCTGAAATTTCCAGGCTGCCCGAAGCTCTATCTTCCACCACCCAACGGGTGGGCAGTGGGCCAGGCTGGCCTCGGAGCCTCTCCCTGGGTGTCGGTTGGGCAGAGAAGGGGGCGGCTGGCTGGCTGGGCCGGGCGGCTGGTGTCTCTCCCTAGGCCGGGGTCGCCCTGAGGGCATTTTACGTTGCCCTAATCCTGTCCACTTGGCAAGAAACTTAGCAAGCCCCTAAGCTTCATTCCAAATCCTGTGTGGGAGGGCGAGGACTGTGGAAACTTCCAGGTGCCTCAGACTCCATCTTTGGCCGTTGAGCGGGTGGTTGGGCTGCTCACGGCCCCAAAGATCTGGGGGGTCTTCATGGGCGGTTGGGTCGCTGAGGGCCCCAAAGATCTGGGGCTCCTCCCGGGTGTCGGTTGGGCCAAGGTGGAGGCTGGGCTTTCGGAGTAGAACCTGCGGTGCTAACGATGGCTCCGCAGGGCTGAGGGCCTGGGCGGCGTCCTGTGGCCCGGAGATGGCGCTTTAGTGGTATCAGGCCTTGAGTCGGGGCATCCTGGCTTCTGACCCCCCATTCCTTCGGCCCCTACAGTCTGGTCTCCGCTTCCCCACTCCCGGTGGATTGCTGTTGGAGCCGCCTCTCCTTTCTGGGTAGTGGCCTGGCCGAGCTCCCTGGGAAGGGCTTGACCTAACCCTGTCCTGCCTCCAGTCGAGTCCCAGCCACATGCTGCTGTGCCCTCACCCCAGCCACCCGCTGGGCACTCGCGGGCCCTGGAGAACCGGACCCCAGAGTGGAGAGAGGCCACTGTCTTGGGCTCTACAACCATTTAGTTTCTAGTTTACTCTTTTTGGAAAACTTTTTCCTCGTTTTTGAAGTTCTTTAATTCCACCACTCCACCCCATGTTAAAATATCATCTTTTTCCTTCCAACTTGACTCTTGGTTTGGCATGCCCAGGGAAGATAACTGACATCCCGGAGAATAGGGTCTTGGGGGTAGATGCAAAGCACATTTTACTAATGTCTGGGAAACAAAATTAGTTCTTTTACAGTGGCTCTGTAATGAGAGAAATTGGAGAAATTCTCCCTGCTCAGGAAAAGGTAGAGGCAAGGACTGACTTAAAGGTTAGTTTGTTTTCATTATTTTGGAGAAGCGAGTTGACCCACAAATGCCTACCTTTCACACTGCTGGAGTTGTGTATGGTAATTGAGATCAAGTTTTTCAAGTCGTTTTGAGAGATTGAACAGCTTAAGACTAGTTTCTAGTGAACCACCTCTCTGTATGTTTGTATCTGACACAATTGGTTATATACAGGTACTGTATAACATAGTAATGCATTGATTTATACATTTCAGTTAACCAAAATCAAAATGTCTGTTACCCTAACTCCCAAAACCAAACTAGCCATTTGCCACCCTCTTAGTGGATTATAATTGAGTTACCCTCTTAACGAATTATAATCAAATTCTTTTTGAGTTTCAATGTGTACTTAAATCATATGTGGGCCCTGTTATTCAAAAGTAAGTTAGAAAAAGACGTGGACTTACATAAACAAAATTAGAGAAGATCTTAACACAAATGCTAAATTGTAAGGTAGTTTATAAGGGCTGAGACTTTCTGAAGAGGGGACGTATTTATTTCTATTGTAAGCCCTCTCTCGTGGATATGGTTTGATTGAGGAATCCTACGAATTCCAGTTGGAGTTTTCAGTTGGAAAAATATTACCTAACACATTGATGCCTTTTGATGTTAGATTTCTACCATTTATAAAGATTTGTTTCATAATTATTTCTGAAATAACGGATTTATAGAAATACTGAAAATGTAAATATTTTAAAAGTACACATAAATACTGATTTATACATTGTTTCTGTTTTTCTTTTAAAATTAGATGGGTAAGAAGAGTGCTACTGATCATAAGCTAAATGTGGACAAAGTAATTAAAAATATTAACACAATTTCTTTGGAGTTGAAGAAGATAAAAGGTAAGTATTGAATCACTAAAATGTTTGCATGTCATTGTTATAAAATAAATGGTAGAGCCAATTTATGTTTCTGCGGGGGTATAAATAAATTTTGCCCACTAATTAGGATTTCTCTATTTCTTAAGAAATGTTTTCAGTGTAAGTGAACTAGATCTCTAAAGATGAATTATGTTCGACTTTGGAGTTAGCAGACCTGAATTCCCATCCCTGACACTAACAAGCTTATCAGGTTATCTAACCTCTGTAAATTTTACTTCCCTTCCTTCCCTTCAACACACCATTATAAGACTATGTCACATTCAGCAAAATTCATTGTCTTTATGAATTCTTACTAAGCCCCTAAGGTTCATCCCAAATTAAAAATATAAATTGGATTCTGTGACTTAAAGCTTCTTCATTTTAAACAGATTCATATACTAGGATTAGACCTTATAGGTCATGATGTTTAGTCGCTCACCTCACAGACATATTCTGTTATTTTATCCCAAGAAAACTTATGTGATTGAATATTTATTTATTTATTTATTTTTGAGATGGAGTCTCGCTCAGGCTGGAGTACAGTGGCACCATCTCAGCTCACTGCAAGCTCTGCCTTCCAGGTTCACGCCATTCTCCTGCCTCAGCCTCCTGAGTAGCTGGGACTACAGGCGCCCGCCACCACACCCAGCTAATTTTTTGTATTTTCAGTAGAGACGGGGTTTCACTGTGTTAGTCAGGATGGTCTCGATCTCCTGACCTGGTGATCTGCCTGCCTCAGCCTCCGAAAGTGCTGGGATTATAGGGGTGAGCCACCGCACCCGGCCGTGATTGAATATTTCTAGGTATTATCTATCCCTGACCAAACATTTCTTATTCTGGGGAACTTCCTGTCTCACTAGTCAATCCATTCCATTTTAAACAATTCCTTCTCACGGGCTAGCTGAAATCTGTTCTCCTATTGCTTTCACCTGAGAGTCCTGTTTCTAACCATGAAAACTACACTGAATATGTAGTTATTCTTTTTAAAACAACTCTTGGGTATTTAAAGATAGCTTGTGTCGGTTATGAGGCCTACATCTGTAAATAACAAAAAACTAACCTGACTTATACAATAAGGAAAAACAAGAAGATCCAAGGTAGCCCAGCCCTAAAGTTAATTAAGAGGTTTAAAGATTTTGTCAGGGACCAGGCTCTTTCCATCTTTCTGCTCTGTCATGTTCACTCTATCACTCCTCATGGTCATTACCTTCAGAGGTGGTGATATATAGACAGTCTCTTTTTATAAGTCTTTTCCCAGATCCCTCCAGCACATTTCCCTTTCATTGGCCAGATTTGCATCATATGCTGATGCTTACAGCAGCCACAGCTAAGGGGACTGGGATTGCCAAGACCAGTTTGGACCAGTCAGAACTTACTACAGGAGCTGGGGAAAGGAACACCTCAAACAAAATCAAGCTGTGACACCAAGAAGAAGAGGGCGTGGCCGTTAGTTAGGCACCAAATAGTGAGTGCCTATTATGCTTTTTCCATGTATTCTCCCTAGGACAGCATTTCCGGGACTTTGATCTGAGAACCCTGCCGTTTCAAGAGATGTTAATAGATGGTGTACAGTAGAACAGAGTCCATGTTCTTATAGCCAAATAAGTTTGGGAAGTGCTTTATGCTATGTATTTCACAAATTTGCAGTGCATATTAAGAAATCTGACTACCTTTAATTCATCATTTCTCAAAACCAGCCTCAACACCACAGTGAAGATTCTCCCTCTAAAATGTCAATCTGCAGAAAACCCTCACTGACTCACCATTGTCCTTAGGATAAAATCTAAACATCTTAGAATGGACTATATGACCTGCTCAGATCAGGCCCCTCTTTTCCTCTCTAGTCTCTCACTCTGTTCTTCCTGCATGTTCTGTGCTCTAGCCATACTGAACTATTTGCATATCCACAAGTGCTTTTCTGTATCTACTTGAACACATACTTGTCCTTCTGAAATCCCATTGCTATACCCCATCTCCAACACACCAGGTTAACTACTAGTAGTCAAGGTCACTTACATTGGAAAACTTTTTTTGAGCCAGCATGTTATCCTTTCTGCCCTTTGCTATCACCTGTTATACTATTTTATAATTGCATATTTCCTTACTTTTCTTATCCCTGCTCAACTGTAAGCTCCTTACGGGTATTTCTAGTACTTAACACCGTGGCTCGATTGATTAGATTCTTGAAAAATGTTTATTAAATGAATAAATGGTTCTGGATGCTTGAACTCATTTAAAACAGTTAAGCTTTAGATTCCCCCCAAACTCTAATTGTTCTAGTTTGGAGAATAATCTTTCCTGAAATAAAATGTAATAACTATGAGAGATGTTTTCTTGAGACATTGTATGGTAGGTCAGGCAGTTAGGCTCTGAGGGACCTGTAGAGCTACACTAGGAAGGTAGACTTCTGGTAAATGTAGAGGATTAAATGAACACTCTGTGCACCCTCACTTCATCCCCTAAATAATAATGTCAGCAGCCAACCCTTACAGCATTTACCATAATCCAGGACTCTTCTAAGAACTCTGCATAAATGAACTGTCTTCATAATAATCGTATAAGGTAGGAACTGTTGCCATTGGCATTTACAGATGTGTAAATAGAGAGATTTAACTTTTTCAAGGTCAAGCAACTAGTCAGTGATAGACCTGAGATTTAAATTTAACTGATTTTTAAAGAGACAAAAATCCACAAGTAAAGAGATTCCAATAAGAGATAACAAAACAAAAGGCAAATGGAGAAGCAAATAGACAAGTCTGAACCCCAAAGTCCGAAAATCTGAACCCTAAGCTGGCTGGGTAAAGCCAAAAATAGCCCCTATGACTCAATTCATGGTGGCACCAGAATCTTCTGAAAGTAGGGGTGAAATTTGAATAATAACAGAAGGACTAGTTAAATATATAAGAATTGTAGATCCCTGAGGTCTCTTCTGCCCTCTGCATAGCTGGGCAGCTATCCCTTCACTGTGATAAAAGACTTGAGGTTAAAACAAGGCTATCTACCCTGGAGTCACTAGTCACAGGTTGAGGGAAAGTACTATACTGTAAAGAAGGATATTGAAACAAAGTTTACATACCAAATTACAAGACTCCCAGGATTTTTTTTTCTTCTTTGGGCTACCAAAATACTGGCAGCCAGATTTATACCCTCCAAGTAGATTTTTCTCTCAGGAATCTGACCAGTCCAAGGTAAAAGATCTAAAGATACTAATAGCAGAGGTTCTCCCAACAAAATAACCCAGCCAGATCATCCCACATTATTGAGTACCACAGGTGCAGAACTTCCAATTGTCTTTTTAGTATCACAGTCTTAAATATGGGCAACTAAGACACAACAGATATTTGAGAAGCACATCTTATATGAAAAGCAGAGAAAAAATCAACAGATTCAATGAGGAAGAAACAGAAATAATGAGGGGAGATGAAAACTTCAAGAAATTATTAATATTCAGAGAGGAGAGAAGATACTGTATCCATGAAAAAGGAACCAGATACTATAAAAAATATTCAGAGAACAAGAAGGAGCTCTTGGAAATTAAAAGTGTGACTGTAGAAATGAAAAACTTGATAGGTTGAAAGGTAAAATGAAGAAATTCCTCTGGAGTGTAAACAAAACAGAGATGGAAAGTGTTGATGATGGGGAGGAGAAGGATTAGATAAGTGAAGGGAGTCCAACATCCAACAAATAAGGGTGTTAGAAAGAGAGAACATAGACAATGAATGACGGGCAATTCATTCAGGAAATAGAGAAAATTTTCCAGGGCTGAAGGGCATGAGTTTCTACAATGAGAGAGTCCACCACAGTGGATGAAAATAAGCTCATACCAAGGCAGAGTGTTGTGAAATTTCAGTCTACTGAGAGAACAAAAAGATCTGTAAAGCTTCTGAAAACAAAACAATCATTTGAAAGTTCTCATATGACTCCAGCTTCACTGGAACCTAGAAAGCAATGCAGCAGTGCCTTTGGAAATCTGAAAAAATGAGATTTCCAATCTAGATTTCCATAGCGAGTCAACCTTCTAATTAAGGATTAGTGTAGAGGAATTTTCAGACATATAATTTTATTCCAATAGTTACTGAGCCTATGTGTCACCAAACAAGGGAACAGATCAAAAAGAGACACAGGAATTTGGGGGAAAGGGCACTCCACAGAATGGAGGGATAAAAGGAGTCTCAAGGATATTGGTGAAGGGAGTTCCCAAGATACCAACTGTACAGCAGTGCTAATAAGCAATCAGTTCAGATTGGAGCAAATCAGAAGGCTCCAGGAGAGGAGAGACATTTAACAATAGCATAGCTAAGGTGTTGAATAACCCAAGAGCAAATTTACTCAGTTGGGGGACATTTCTGATAATGCAGCAATATTATTTCTGATATTGCAGCAATGAAAAAACACATTAACTCTGGTGGGTTGCGTGCAGGAAGGAAAAATGTCATATGACAAGACTCAGCTGTGAAGAGTATTTGTATAATTAACATTTAAACATTAGATAATTGAGCTAAGCAAAAATTTTTCCTGAAGTATATTGGGAGAGAAGAGGGTGTGTGAAAGAGCTGTCTCTTAATCTTCTGTGTCAGAGGCAGGTAACACTGAAAATTGAAAAAAAAAAAAAATCGCAAAAAATTTAGAGATACGGAGGTAAACACCATTGCACCCCTCCCCCCAATAACAATACTCAAAACAGACACACTGAAATGACCAAAGCAACAAAAGCAAAATGAGCTTAAAAAACAAAACAAAAAAAAATTGAAATTGGTTGCTTCTGGGAGATTGGAACTGCAATTTTTTGTAATGTGCCTTAGACTTGTCTGATTCTTGGTACTATATGCATGTATAACATAGGTAAAAATAAGTTAAAACCATACAAATCAAATTTGTATAAATCAAGTTGCAGTTTAGTAATATAGCTGAGAAGTTGGGCTAAAGAGCACACTTTTAGTAAGTTTTTATGTCATGCTTATTTTCTAATACATAAATCTTATTTTAAGTCAGAATGAGACACACTTAAATTGTGGTTTTATCACTAATCACTTGGGAAAAACTAAATTAGGAACTAGGAAGAAATAGCTACTTAAAGCAATAGTAGTTTTTTTAATGACATATGTGCTACAATATAATATCTCCTGTTTTGTTTTACAGAGCTCTCCCAGTTATTGCTTTGTGACCTTATCCTACATTTTAATCATCCCGTCAAGACTGAGAACTTAACAGAAGCAGAAAGAAAACAACCCCCTCTTTGAAGAGTCTAAAATATCAGATATATCCCTCGTTTCTAACAGTTTTTCTGCTGATTTCTTATTTGTTACGAGTTTCTGTTTTTATTGTTGAAGTAACAAATACTTGGGAGAGTTGAGTTTACTAATTTGTATATGTATAATTTAAAACAAAATAAAAATAATGTTGTAAACAAGCAGTTCATGTTCTTGAAGGCTGTTTAATGTTTTGAAGAATGGCTTAACTTACTTTAGTAATGGCAAGCGTATGACATAGGAAATTGGCCGTGGGTCACTGCTTATCCTTTAGCTTATGCTTGATTTTGGCTCAGGTTGAAAGAGAGCTACTAAATTATTAATTGATGGTATGAGTGCTATTAGTCAGAACTCTCCTGGTAGTGAACGCCAAGCACAATTCAACCAGCTGAAGCATTATATTGAGTCATGTGACTTGGAAGCCCATGGTTGGAATAGATTTCAGGGATCCCACTAATTTGTTTATCCTTTTACTGTGTTTTTGTGTGTTGGCTTCATTCTCTTCTATTGTAGACTGGTTCTTCCAGATAATTGGTAAATCGGAATAGTTGCAGGGCAGCAGGCAGCTCCAAGAGTACAGCATCGCCTTTTGTGAACCCCAGATAAAAGAGAGATCTTGGCCGGGCGCAGCGGCTCCTGCCTGTAATCCCAGTGCTTTGGGAGGCCGAGGTGGGTGGATCACAAGGTCAGGGGTTCAAGACCAGCCTGACCAGCATGGTGAAACCCCATCTTTACTAAAAATACAAAAATTAGCTGGGCGTGGTGGCAGGCTCCTGTAGTCCCAGCTACTCAGGAGGCTGAGGCAGGAAAATTGCTTGAACCCGGGAGGCGGAGGTTGCAGTGAGCCGAGATCATGCCACTGCACTCCAGCCTGGGTGACAGAGCGAGACTCCGTCTCAAAAAAAAAAAAAAAAGAGATCTTGTCTCAGGCTTCATGTTTAATATTCCAGAGAGTGACCCTGACTGACCCAGCTTTAGTAAGCTATTTATCACTGAGCAGAGTTCTGAGCACCTGTGATTGATGCACCTGGGGTCATATACAGGCCTGTGGCCAAAAGAGGCAAGGCCCGGCAAAAAGGAGTTGCCAGTGCTTGAACAGAGAGAGAATGCTAGTCATGAAAACATTAGCTTCCCAATACTGATTTCAGTCATAGCCGTGGAATAGAACATCTTAATCCTAATGGCCCTTTCCACTAAGAGACTTAAAATGAGCTTTGGTTTGTTTTATAAACATGATTCACTACCAAATAGTTGCTTTGAAATCGATCAGGTCCTTCATTTTAGATATTTTTGAATCGTAAGGATAGAATACGGTGAAGCAAGACAAGTTGAGCTTACTCGATACTAGAACCTGTGGTGTATGCTATCCTTATTACCTTGCACCTAGCTCACTTGTTTACCACAGAAGAGCCACTAAGTAAACACTTGCTGAATAGCCTATTGTATAGACATGTAAATGAATGCAGAGTTTTCAGCCTTAGAACTCCCAAGTTTTGGACCCTAACTGAGAACTTCTGGTTATTAAGGATGAGATTTTGTGAAACATCATTTTCACCAGTTAAAAGTCTCTACATTCCGCATACTCCTTATCTTAACATATCATCAGTTTTAAAATGGTGACTTCTTAGATTCCTTCCAATACCCCTTTTATTAGCTCATGAAAATGAAGATGCAAGATACTCTTTTCCATTTCAAAAACTTGCAGATTAAGCAGAGATACCAAAAACTGTTGCTAATAAAAGTTGTGCAATAACAACCAAGGTCCCAAAGGGAAAAACTTGAAGAACAACTGATTGTCACTATTTGGCTGAATACCAGTTTTTTAATCTGGCTGAATGCCTATATTTTTTGTTAAGTGAGATTTGTAAACTGAAGGAAAGAGTTTAATTACTTCAAAGCACTTATACAACCTGTTTGGGAAGGATGAGGAGAAGGGACTTTATGGCAGAGCTGTCAGGGGGATAACAAGAGATAGAAGAGCCATATCTAATAAGAAAGTCTGATCAGATTTATCTAAAGTGTTGCTCCCTCATCCTCCCAGGGAGCCTTTGGTAAAATCTATGTCCCTGGACAATGCTTTTGGGGTTGAGAGAAGGTTGGTGGGGAGGTGTAATGGTTAGTGTGGGTGTGGAGATGTGAAGAAACGCCAATTTAACCCCAGATGTATTCATTAAACATAGACCCACGATACACCAAAGTCTCATCCCTAATTTAAAATGTTTTGGTATTTGTAGTTTAAATTTTCTTTAAGACGAAAATATAACAGTATGGACTAAAAGTCAATAAAGTTGTTTTAGGAAACCAAAAAAGTAAAGCAAAAGACTATTTTAATCCCAGAAGTTATCTCAACATGCATTTATCTTTTCATAAAAAATTACATAAAAATCCCCCCAGGAAAAAAATACCAAATAAGTAAGAGTGAAATTATATTTTTGAAGCCTCTTAAATTATTGCTGCTGAGAAAATGAGGTTTAGTAATTTTCAAATTACATATATCAAACTAATGAATGCCTCTGACTGACAGAGGTTTGGCTGTAAGAAAATCAGTTTTATGTGATACCAATAACTATTACTGTTTCAGTGTTTTAAAACTTGCCCCAAATTGTTTCTGTAGCTGTGTAAACTATTGTATTTTGAAATGGGCATTAAAAAAACTTTTAAAAAATGAATTATTACTGTGCACTAGTAGACTTCAAGTGTGAACATGACTTATGCACTTTACAAACACTGAAGAAGAATAAATAAATTATGGGATATTTGACAGTCTTCATTTCAAACACTGTTTTTAAAGGGAAGGATAAAACCTTTGTGTTCATGGGGAGGGGTTCAGTTCAGTCCTAAGTGTTTGTCCATTGACCAAGGCTGGTTGATCTCGTGTTGGCAACAGAGGCAGGAGGATGGTTCATTTGCTCGGCTATAACTTGCTATGGGTACCCTGCTGCATGCGTTAATGTGCACTGGTATCTGGAACCTCGGTTTTTCCCATCAATGAGCAGAAGTGGCATTTTCCTGAAGTAGTCAATAATATCTGACACAGACAGAAAGTCCTGAAAGAGTCAAGATAGGGAGATGAGTCAACATTGGAATGAAAAGCAGGAACTTCACCTTCAGTTTTTTATCTGCATAATATATCCTGCCTCTTCAAGTGATGAGGATTGTGGGAAAAAATGTAAATGTGGCAATTAGTTTAATGATTTCTGCTATAGAACTTTGAAAAAAAATTTCCCATAAACATCCAACAAACTATAGATAAAAGATAAAATATGGGCCGGGTGCGGTGATTCACGCTGGTAATCCCAGCACTTTGGGAGGCCAAGGCGGTGGATCACCTGCGGTCAGGAGTTTGAGACAAGCCCGACCAACATGGTGAAACCCTGTCTCTACTAGAAAATACAAAAATATTAGCTGGGCTTGCTGGCGTGTGCCTGTAATCCCAGCTGCTTGGGAGGCTGAGGCAGGAGAATTGCTTGAACCTGGGAGGCAGAGGTTGCAGTGAGCCAAAATTGCACCATTGCAGCACTCCAGGCTGGGGGACAAGAAGGAAACTTCATCTCAAAAAAAAAAAAAAAGATAAAATATGTGTGCATGTGTGTGTGTGTATATACATATATATATATATGTAATTTGAAAAGCATATATTTTTAACTTCATATGAAGGGGTCATGTACATAGTCACGATTACAATATTCTTGCCTTGGGTTGCTGTTTTTGGTTTTGGTTTTGGTTTCTGTATCTCGTTTCACCCCTAGTCGTTAACAGTGTTAGGAAGTATAAGGACTCAGGAGGTCAGACACAGTTCATGGCGTCTAGAGGTGGGATATGCAGCATGGCACGGGGGTTCCTTCCTAATCTCTGCTGTGTCCTCACTGCCACCTTCACACTCATAAGGGCTCAGCAGGCAAGTCTTTGCAGCCATAGCCTGGATCGCCCCAGCCTTGATTGCTTGCTAGAAAGGGAAAAGCCTAATTCATTTTTCTAGACATGGGTCACAACTCACCTAGGAACCCTAACAGGATAATGCACTTCCTTTAAGACTAATCTGCTAGGTGCCTGCCTCCATGGGAGCTGCAATGAGTGGTTGGCCTGAACTTGAGTGTTTCCACACTGTACCAAGATACATCTTGAAGGGCAAATACCTCTGCTTCTATAGGGTCTGTGCAGCTCTATCCACTGCCAACCAGTGATTCAAACATTTGACCACAAGCATGCATTTTTTTTTGTATTCATTATCATTATCATAACAGAAGTATGTGAAGCAGAAGTTGCGGGTAAGCTGTTTCTCATTCTGGACATGTTTGATTCAGCTGGTCCTCCTCTTGGAACTTTGAACTTAGAATTTGTTTGGGGCATTACCTTCAGTTGTTAGTTTCCTCTGCAAAAAACTAGCCCTGAGGGTTTTTTTCCATCAGTTCTGATTATCACTCAAAAAGTGACGGCATGAGAATCTAAACCTTCGCCTAACCGAGAAGAATTTCTTTGGCAATCTGGCCATCTTCACAAGCTCAAAGCTCCATTTTGTTAAGAAATGAGCCAAGTATTTGAATAATCGCCCCAGCAAATATTCTAATTTTTCCTCTTTTCCAGGTGGTGCCAACTTAAAATGCAACCTACATTAAAATTATGTCACAGAGGTGAATAATAGCAGGAACTTGCCTTTGACACCATCTAAATAGGTTTTTTTAGTTAACATACTTTTTCTTGCTTTTGAAAATTATACATATGATTATTTGGAATAAAAGATATACAAGAAAGAATCCTATGGCAGAAGTAACCATTGTAAAGATTTTGCTTTATTTCTCTTCCAATAAATGAAGGGCTTCTCACTAATGTGATTTAATTCTAAATTTGCCATACAGCATGGACTCCCAAAGATTGCTCCATGAAGGCATGCAGAGTGGCATAAAAAAAGACTTTGGGAAAATGTTGAAATTTGAAATCCTTACCTCTTTCCCTCGGAGTCCAGTTCCCAACAAGTAAACTTGACTTTCCTTCTGATAACGGATCTGGATGTTGTAAACTTTATCTTTGTACAACACCATGAGGACATATGGATTGGTTATTGTTTTTTTAGAGCTGTCTCTAACCAGAAATGTGCCATCCTAAAAAGATAAATTCCTGTTATTATGGGAGCGGTAAAAGTCAATATTTTTGTTGCTTGCAAGAA